ATCCAGCAAATACTAAAAAATAACAATCCGTTAATTAACCCAAACAATTAATTCGATAGCAATAAGCAATTGGCCCGCCCGCCCGTTTACGGTAAATAATAATCGCTAGCCATTAAAAATAGCCCAAACATTTTTTCCAATAACCCAGCCATTCCCAACGGCTTAAACATTTTCGCTAGCCCGAACATTCCAATTTATAACAAAAAAAAAGCAATTATAAAAGCAATTAAAAAAGCTATTAACAAATTAAGCTTTGGTAACGAATTGCATTATAAAGCGTTACGAAAATCCCGCAAAATTACGAAAATCGAAAAATAAACGTACGCTTGGTACCAAAATTAACATTAAAGCAAAAGCTAAAATTATATAGCACTAAAACCGATAGCAAAAAAGCACGTTAATAAAATGCCGCTATTAAAAAACAAAGCTTAAGCACAAATTTTAGCGGCAATTAAAAATAGGGTACTATTAATAGTAAACGAAAAAAGCGCATTTAATAAATGGTATAACAATGCAAAAAAACCCGGAATGCAATTACCGTACCAAAAAAAATGCGCCGAAAAAACGATATTAAATTACGTTGCTAAATTATAAGAAAAAATCGGCAATATGCAAATAATAACGAAAGCAAAAGCAATTGCATAAATTAACGATATGCTTTACTTAAACGTGGAAATAGCAAAAAACCAAATCGAAAAATTCGCAACTTTTAAAAACGAATTTATTAAACAATAAAATTTGCTGGAAAGTAATAAAAAAATGTTACCGGAAGCGCAAATTTTGTAAACGTTTTTAAGCAAAAGGGCTATTTTAAATGCTTTTAATTGCGAATAAAATAACGAAAACGCGAACATTGCGAACGTGCTAAACAATAAAATAATTTATTTAAATATTAACAAAAAAATTATATACGTTATAAGAAAATTATTATACGATAAAAACCCGGCATTAATTTTTTACGATAACAATTGGCTAAAAAATAAGCTAAAAAAAAGTTATTCGAAAACGTTGAACCAAAAAATACCGATGGCGTTTTAAATATAATTTTACCGGCCTCGTGGTGCAGTGGCTCTGCACCAGGCCGGTCCCGCCAAGACCACGGGTTCGAATCCCGTCGAAACTACAAAGGACTTTTTGTTCTTCAACCGCCCGCTTTGCTGGGCCGGAAAAAGAAAGGGGCCGCCCCGCTAACGGGCTTTGCCCGAATTAATTTTTACCCACGCACAATTAATTAACAATTCCGACAATTAATTCGATTCCAACCCTTCCAACCCCAACCCTTCCTAACCCTTTTCGTACCATTTTAAAAGCCTAAAATGCAAAAGGTTAAGCCAAAGAAAAGGTAACGGGAAAGCCTTTGGAAAGGCCCAACCTTACCCCAACAAGCGCACGCATAAACCAACGAATTTAATTACCATCCCTTTTTTTTTAAATATTAATTACAAGCTTTAGCCCTTTTGCAACCTTTAGCCCCAATTCCAACCTTACCGCCCCAAATAGCCCAAAACGCAAAAGGTTAAGCTAATAGGACGGTAACGGGAAGAAAAAGGGCCGGGTGCTAAAAGGACCAAATTAAATGCGTGGGAAAGCCCTTTAAGCGCTTTAAACAAGCTTAAGCAAAAAAACCGGCAAAAAACCCTTTTAACCGAAATGGACCCAATTCGTAGCCCCCCCGGCAAAAAGGCCAGTTTGGCAAATCGAATAACAAACCAACCAATTAACCATAAGCAAACAAAACGCGGCTTTATCGGCCCTTTGCAAAAGGGGCTGCACGCGGGAAAACGGTTAATTTCCGGGTAAAGCCCTTACGAGCAATTAAATGTGGAAAAAAGTAAGCGTTAGCCAAAGCGGTTTAACACCGTTACGAAAGCGCACCGCTAAAAAGGCGGAAACGCAAGTATAAGGTTTTTCCTTTTTAAGCTTAACCCAAAGGTTTTCCCCCATTTGCATGTACTTAACCGCAACATTAAAGTTTTTTCCATAAACATAATAGCGTATAAATACAAATATAATTTTACCTACGTTACCTAAAAGGATTTAACGTTTAACAACGAAAAAAATCGCTAAATTTATAAAAGTAACAAAAATTGAAATGTTCGATACGGGCACCGGAAAATTAGCAACGGGAAAGCTAACCCCCGTTAAAAAAGGATACAAATAGCCAAAGTTATCGTGCTTAACAAACGAAAACGAAAATTTCGTAGCAATAACAACGATTGCGCTTTATTATTAGCGAAACGAACCAAAGCAATAAGGCCCGTTCGTTTAATAATATTGCTATACCAAAAAAAAAAACAATAAAGCACAAAATGTAACGAAAATTACCGAAATTCGAAAGGATTGCAGCCATTGCAACATGCTTTAAAAAAACGCAAATAATTAAAAAAAAGAAATAAAACGCTTGGAATAAAGTTATGCAAAAAAACGAAACGATTATTTTTAGTTATAACACTTTAAAATGGATTAATATCCAAAGCAAAATGATATTAGCCAAAATAATATTAAAACAAAAAGCAATGTTAATAATAAAGAAAAAATTAAAAAAAATTGGCATAAAAGCAATATTAAATAAAGATTTCGAACCAAAAAATTTTTCCAATTTCGATTTCAAAACCGCTAAATGGATTGTAACGGGATTGAAAAACGTTAAAAAGGCGCAGGACTTAATGGTAAAAAATAAACGGCTAAAGCTTACTTCCGTTACGAAATACCCCATAACAAAAAAAAAGGAATTTTAATTACGGCAAGCAAAAGCAACGATAATACGAACAAAAAAAACGATAGCAAAAAAAGTATTAATAAAAACGATAAAAAAAAAAAAAAAGGCAAAAGCAATTAAAAAATTTAAAAAAATAGTACAAATTATTTTAAAATAAACAATAACCGTCGAAACCAAAATAAAAAAGGTTTACAACGCTAATAATATTAAAAATAAAACGAAAGCAACGGAAAAGGCTAAAATATACGTGGCTAACGCTATATTAACGGCAAAGCAAAAACGAAAAAACGCAGCAAAAATCACAATAAAGCAACGCCGGCATTAATAATAATTAATTTAGCAACTTAACGGGTTACAAAATGCATGGATAAAATTGCGGCAATAATTTTTTTAGCAAAAAAAATATAAAAAAGCCCGAAAAAAAAAGCAAATACAATGCGAAATTGGTTTTAACATATTACGAGCAATATAAAAAACAAGGCTTAACGGGTTTAACAAGCTATAAAACCGGCGGGAATTTTCCAAATTCGATATTGCAAACATTATTAATTATCCAAACGAAAAAAAAAATACCGTACAAAAGCTAATTAAATGGGCCGTTAACGCTTAAAAAGCAATTTATAACCCTAAAAATATAACCGAAATAATTAATTTGCTAAACGTTTTAAAAGCAAACGTTAAACATGTTAAAAAAAAGCACCCAATACAGTAAGCATAAATATATTTGTATAAAATAATGCGGGAAAAAGCGGGTTTTTTAAACGTAATGCTAGCAATTTATTGCTATATAATGGTTTTGTATATCCGCGTGTACCTAACGGTACGCTTAGGAAGCGGCTGGGGTACCAACAAAGCAAGCTATTGCTTGCTTTAGCACGGAATCTTCGGTAACCATTACGTATAATACAATAAAACGAAATGGTATACAATATAAATACAAAAAAGTCGTTAAGCGTTTCGATAATTAATTAAAAAGGAAATTTTTTTCATTTAACCGGTAAAAATGAAAAACAAAAAGGAAAAAAAAAATCCAATTTAAAAATAATATTAAACGATAACCAAAAAGCATTTAAGCAAACGTATAAAATGGTAATAAATTAAGTAAAGTTAAAACGGATAAAAAAATAAAAGAAAAAGGAGGAATTAAAACGAGTATAATTACTAATAATTAACAAAAACCGGTTACAGCAATGTATTTAATTACTAAATTTGCAAAGGATAAAAAGTTAGCAACTTTACGGAAAACAAAAAGTCGAAAACTGGCCGAAATACAGCGGGAACAAGGTATTAACAGGTTTGCAAAAAATAAAAAGTCGATAAAGGCATTGACATTTATAAATAAGGGGCAAATGATAGGTTCCAAACCTGCTTAACGCGCCCCAACCGTGCGCGGCGGCCGATACCGCCACGTACGGCCGAAGTACGTGCGGCTGCACGTAACCCGCACGGGCCGTTAATTTATTTAGATAGCGTTCCTTTCGTTGGCTTTGCGGGGGCCCAACGAAAGGAGCCGATTATTAAATTCTTTCACCTTACGCGCGCACCCTTTGGGTGCACCCTGTGCCTTTAACAAAGGGCTACCATTTTGCTAATAAGGTTTTATTTGCAAAAATTTTATAATTTTTAGGTAATTAAAAAAAAGCTTTAATAACGGTTAAAATTAAAGCGGGGGCTTTGGAAATAATTAAAAAGCAAGCCAAAAAATTGCTGGAAAAAGCAAATAATATGTATAAAAAATATTACGATAAAAGCAAAACCCTGGTGCTTTTCGGGGTAAAAAATTAAGTATTGCTAAATACGGCAAATATTAAAATAAAAAGGCTTTTAAAAAAATTATTAAATAAATGGCTAAAACTTTTCCAAATTACGGAAATGGTTGGGTTAGCCGGTTTAGCGTTCCGGTTAAAGCTTTTGGTAAATTACCGGATACATAACGTATTCCCGGCAAATTTATTGCGGGCGTTTAAAAAAAGGCCCGGTAAAAAACCAAAAAATAAAAAACCAAAAATCGAAAAAAAAAAAAAAATCGCTTCGAAATAAAGGCTTTGCTAAAATATAAAAAGCTTTTGCGAAAACGAAAATATTTAATTAAATGGATAAATTACGATAAATTAAAAAATTCGTAAATTTTAAAAAGGGATATTACGAAAAAAATTGTTTAAACGTATAAAACAAATTTATTGGAAGCAAGCTTACAAAATAAGGAAAATACCGAACTTTAGCGGGTAAATACCCGGAAAGGACGGGGGTATTACAAAAAAGGAATAACAAAAGCTAAAAAATGGCCCAAAAAAATGTTTTAAACGTGCCAAACCGGTTAGCTATTGGGAAAAAACGTAAAAAAACCCGTAAGCGGCTTATAATAGCCGTAAAATATTGTGCTTTATAAACAAAAAATTAAATAAAAACGGTATAATATAAAAAACGCTTTAAATTAATAATGCAATACATTTAAATTTTAAAGGATATGCAAAGTGTAACATATTTCAAAAAGCTTGTAAAAAGCATGCTTAACGCAATACGTTAAAGCAATTACCGCATTTTAAACGTACGTTATGGTAAAACATTATTGCTTGCCCAAAAAGGAAATGGGAAAATTTCCGGATAGTATAACAAACGGGCTTAAACGTTCGGATAACGGTAAATGCATGTTAGCGGTATTTAAACCCATTAAAAGGCGAAAAAAAAGCATTTTAAAATTATTTATTAAAATATTAAAGCTTAATTAGTAATTAAAAATATTGGGATTTCGCAATGCTGCAAAATAATATAACGAAAAAAATTTATAAATTTAATTGTAATAAATTAACGAATTTTTTTTAAAATTAACCATTTTTTAAAAAAGGAATATTAGTAATTAATTAAAAAAATATGTAAAAATGTTGGAACAGCATTGCGGTGCGCGTGCGATCCGGAAAGGGAGGTTATTACAAAAGGCTTTGGGATCCTCCGGATCCCGCACGGGCCAACTTTATTTGCTTTAGGCAAAGCAGGGAACCACCCTTTGGGTAATCGTCCCTGCGCATATAAGGGGCAATCCTGTGCCTTTCTTTTGGCAGATAAATTCCTTCCTCGGTGTGCACAATAATAGGATTTTTCCCAGATCATTAAAATCGTTGTTTACCTTTACCAGGAGATTTCCGAGCCTTAAAACAGGAGTACGAGACTCTTACCAACAACCGCTTTAAATAAAATCGTTTTTTGCTTGTGCTTTAAAAATGCGCTTTAATATTGTTTTAATATTCCTTTTAATAATAATTATCCTTACGTAAATTGCTTTTCGGAATTTAATTAACAAATTGCTTTGGAATTCCTTTTTTGCCATATTAACTTTCCTATTCGCAAGCATATTTTAAAAGCGTTTTAATAACTTATTCGCAAAATTCCGGTATTCCGGTTTTTATTTAATTGTAAAATCGTATTCCGCTAAGTGTTACGGTACGCGTCGGGGCACCTGGGGAGGAACCTAAGGCCGCACTTTTAGCGCGCCAACGTTACGCTTACAAAACCGCGACAAAACGCCAAAAACGCTTTGCCCAAATAGTTTCCTTTTCGTGCAATAACAAAGCCTTTTTTATAATAATAAAGTGTAAACCGTAGCAATTTGTTGCATTTTAAATTTTCGGGACCCGATATTAACATATTCCGTTTTTTTTTTATTAATAACCTTGTAAAACGGTAGCATACCTTTTTGCTTACGATCGACCAACGTTAATATTTACCCCAAATTTTGCCGTATAACTTCGGGAAAATACTTTTACTTTTTCGATTTAGCTTTTTTAATTAAGCGACCCGCTGGCGAATTACCGCCGCGGTTATATTATGCCCACCGTACCCGACGCCCCCGAAGCGGGCCTTTCGGGCCCAATAATAACAATTCCACGAAACGCTATTTTTTTATTTTTAACTTTGCACTTTATACGCGAAGTAATTTAAAACGACTTTAGCAATTACGCCGTTTTATATTTTGCTTTGCATTTAAAACGTTTTAACGAAACCCAAACTTAATTTAAATATATTTTCCGGGTTATAAAAACCCGTTTTTAAGCCATTAACGAATTGCTAACAATATATTGCCAAAACGCCGATACCGCCCACGTTATAATTTCAAACCAAAAAATAACGATTTGCAAATTTCGAATTTAAATTTAATAGCTATTTAGCCAAGCTATGCTTATACCAATTACAAATACGCCCTTTTTAGCGCAGCTTTTTAAAGCCGCCGCGTTATTGCTAGCAATTTGCCCCCGAACGGTTATTTTTAAAATTTTTAAAGGCACAAAGGTAAACCAAATCCAGCGACAAAAGCATTATACCAATTGGCGCTTTTTGCTTAAAATATAAATAAAATTATACCGGGCCGTTTTCCCAACGTTATTGGAACGCGTTTTTTTCCTGTTTTAATATTTGGGCAACGACGCTTTTGCTTTTATAAAAACGAAAATCGACCAAATTGCTATAACCGGCAATAACGTTTCCCAATGGCCCGCCGGTTAGCGTAATTACCCAAACGTTATTAAAACGCTAAATTAAATTTACATTATTACCGATATATTAATAAAAGCCAATTAGAATTTTAAATTATTCGCTTAGGGCAATTCCTTTTTTGGCGATTTTATCGGCAATTTTATTAAGCTTAACGATATGTACAATTTGCTTAACAACTTACGAGTATTGGCCTTTAAGCAAAAAGTAAACCGCCCATTGTATAAAGCCATTACGTCGATTGTAAAACGCCCGGAACCCGACGATTTCGAAGGGTGGGTAAGTTTATTCCGGAACCTAACCAATAACATTACCGATAATATTTTTCGGGGCAAGCAAAACGCTAACGCCCATCCCCCAGCACGCTATCCCAACGCTAACGATGCGCCGGGACCGGCCCAGCATTTAAACGCTATAAATTTCGACAAAATTACAATAAGGCCCCAACCCCCCTTTATTAACGCCCGAAAAAAGTACAAGCGTACTAATAACCTATACTTTTATTGCGGCGGGGCGGGGCACCAAATAGCCGCTTGCACAAAAAAAAGGAAGCCAAAAAAATAGGCTTTGGGCATAATCGCTTTTAAAACCATTAGCGTTTTGCCAACAATTCCCTAAAAAAAATAAAAATGTATTTACATTTAATAAAACCCAATTTTACTTTTTTATTTTACAACGAACTTTTTGCCGAAAAAACGCTACCGACCCGGTGCCGCACCCTTTTAAATACCGGATATTCCTTATGGGCATTTATTAACGATACCTTTGCGTACAACCATAACTTGCCACGCTTTGCCTTGCTTAAACCCATCCTTTTAAAGTTAGCTAATGGCAAGGTTACGGGTTACCTTTGCAAATGCGTTAAAATGCGCTACCGCATCGCTTGCCAAATAAAAACGCTTACTATGTACATTTGGCCATTAAGGACGGGAAGCCTTAACATTATACTAAGGCTTTTTTGGTTACGCCATTACAACCTTTATATCGATTAAACAACGGGCTTAATAATTATGCACGACATTACGTTATTAAAATTAAACCCGAACGCTAGCAACCCATTACGCAACCGTTTAAAAAATAACGATAACGAATTCGACCCCGCAAATATACGCATATTTAGCGCTTCCAATTTTATGCTATTTTGCAAACAAAAAAGCGTGCAATTTAAACGAACAACCATAACGGAATTTTACGCTAAAATTTGCTTTAAACTTTTAGTACCCCCAATAAACGCTAACCAATTCGCTAACGATACGTTAATGGAAATTTTCCGTTCCATTTTAACTTTATCCGATAAAATTTTTCGGGATATGCTGGAATTACGCTTAGCCGCATTTTAGGATTAAATCGAAAAGGCATTACATTTCCGGCGCATTTCCAACGATAATATCCAAAAATATTTAAATGGCAAGCCCCCCGTTACAATAAAGGAAATTTTATAGCGCTTTCTTTACGAATTTCGCGATTTAGCGTTATGCTTTTTTCCTTAAAACGCCGATAAATTGCTACCGCATTGCTTTTTTAACCACAAAATCGAATTATTTCCAAGCAAAACGCCTTTTTACCACCATAATAAACTTATGTTCCAAAAGGAGCTTTAAATTGTTAGGAAGTATTTAAACGAATACTTAGCGAAAAGCTTTATACGCGACAATATATCGCTAACGGCTGCCCCGGTTTTTTTAGCAAAAAAGCCCGGGGGGGAAATCCGCATTTGTATTAATTACCGGGGTTTAAATAACGTTACCGTAAAAAACAAATATTCCATTCCTTTAATTAAAAAAATACTAAACGCTTTTTCGAAAGCTAAGTATTTTACCAAATTAAACATTATTGCAGCGTTTAACCGCTTACGAATCGCCCCAAAAAACGAATAAAAAATAACGTTTATTACCAAATTCGGCTTTTTTAAATGCTTGGTAGCAAATTTCGGCATAACAAGCGCTTTTAACTTTTTTTAGTATTATATTAACCGCACTTTATTAAATGCATTAAACCGTTACGCTATAGCATATTTTAACAACGTTTTTATTTATAGCAAAACGCAAGCGAAATACCGGCGCTACGTTTGCGTAATGGTTTAAAAACTTGCCGACGCGGGCTTTACCATCGACATTTGGAAATGCGAATTTTTAATATAAAAAACCAAATATTTCGGCTTAATTATTTTAATTACGGGAATCCGTATAAACAAAAAAAAGGTTAAAACAATCCGTTAATAAAAATAGCTTATAATTTTAAAAGAATTTCGCCGTTTTATAAGCTTTACCAACTTTTATCGCCGGTTTATTAAAGGTTTTTTCGCTATCGCCAAACCCTTTTATTTATTAATAAACGAATAGTTATGGGTGCGCCAATAGCTTACCAAAGCAACGGTAACTTTTTACCAATTTAAAACCGCTTTTTTTTCGGATATCGTGCTTGCACATTACGATCCAACCTTTAAAACAATCGTAAAAGCGAACGCTTTCGATTAAGCCATAAACGGGGTGCTATTTTAAATAAACGCGCTTAAAGTACGCCGGCCCGTTGCTTTTTTTTTAACCAAACACTTACTAACTAAATGCAATTACGAAATTTACGATAAAGAATTGCTTGCAATCGTGCGCGCTTTTAAAAAATAAAAACCGGAGCTTTAAAAAATCGAAACGCTAGTAAAAATTTGGACAAACCATAAAAACTTACAATTTTTCGTTATTACCAAGCTATTTAACCAACGGCAAATACGTTAATTTAAATTTTTTAGCAACTTTAAGTTCCAAATCGTATACAAGCCAAAAAAAACAGCCATTGTACCAAACGCCCTTTCCCAACCCCCCGGCGTTAAGCCAACGCTTTACGACATTGTTGCAAACGAACGCGTCGTTAATAAGCACAAAATCCTTTTCCCCCCAAAACGGTAAGCAAGCAAAACGCCGGCGCAATTTTAATATTTTTCCTTATACCAATTAAATATTTTCGAACCCATTAACGCGTTTATTAATAAAAGCTATTCCGCGTTTAAACTTTATTAGGATTTATTACAATATTTTGCCGATCCGAATATCCGTTACTTTTTAGCGTTTTTGCGCAAAACGTTTAAAATTGCTAAAACCAATTGCCAAGCGATTTAAAGGCGCATTTACGTCGAAAAAAAGCTATTTATTCCCCCAAACGATGCTTTTCGATTGCAAATATTGCACAAAATGCATAGTTTACCATTTAACGGCTACGCAAAAAAAAGCAAAACATACAACCTATTGCGAAAATTATATTTTTGGCCAAAATTTTTCCGGAACGTTAACGTTTTTGTTCGGGGCTGCTATTTTTACAAAATGGTTAAAAAAAAAAAACATTTTTTTAACGGGCTATTTTAACCGTTGCTAATCCCGTTTAAACCATAAGCAAATTTGTTAATGGATTTTATTGGCCCGTTGCCGCCGTATAAACGCCGGGGTATTATTTACACCAATATCTTAATAATAATAAATAAATTAACAAAAATAAAGCATTATATTTTAATAAATACTATCGACGCGGGCAGCTTA